AAAAAGGTCAGTCCTTGTCCAGACTTTAGCTAATGGTGGCCTTGGGGTCACCAATATTCGTCACAAATGTGACGCTTTCTTTGCCAGTGGGTTTAGGGTTTTGTTGAGTGACGATGGTCCTCCTTGGAGATTTTTTTCTCTGTACTGGGCGGCCTCGTCACTCCTTGGTGTTCTCCCCCGTAACATCTGGAGGAATGATACCCCACACGCCCTCCAACCCACTGGGTTTTACCGTCAATTTTGCAAGCTGGTCTTGCTTATTTCTACCATTACGCCGGACATCGACTGGGGGCCCGTAAGGGTCCGGCAACTTTACGACCTGTTGTCGAGCCGGGAGCCTACCCAGCATCCGGCAATTAATGGGATTGATTTTAAGCATGTTTTTAAACTTTGTCACTCCTCCAATTTGAGTAACCGCTTGCGGGACTTGAATTGGAGGGTAGCATGGGGGGCCTTAAAAACCTCCCAACGTTTAGGCCATTGGGGCATTGGTGATGGCAAGTGTCCTCGGGTCGGCTGTGCCGCTCCAGAGTCACTTAGCCACGTTTTTTGGGACTGCCCTTTCGTTTACATTTTGTGGGCCTGGGTCGAGCACATTGGTTGCAAAGCCCTGGCCCGTTATTTTTCCCTGACCCGTTCCTGCGTTTTGTATGGGTCAGGGCTTGAGACCAGGCCAGACTCTCTTCTGGTCTGGTATTTGATTAGCACGGTGAAGTGGTTGGTTTGGTGTTCGCGCTGTGAGACATTGTATGATGGCTCACGGCCGGATGCTGACCACGTGCTTCACCGTGTCAAGGCTGCGGTCAAGAACCGCTTACATTTGGACTTTGTCCGGCTGGACCGGGCCAAGTTCCGCACCATCTGGTGCGTGCGGGGAGCGGTATGTGTCGTCATTGACGACCATCTTGTCCTCAAGTTCTAAATTTGTTGTTGCATTATTGCAACCTTTTTTCATGTGGGAGATTTTTTTTTCCTCCTTGTTTATCTCGGGCCCTTTAGGTCCTTTGTGTGGGAGCTGTTACTCCCTGCTTTTTGGACCCTTTAGGTCTTTTTTGAGGGAGCCTTTTGCTCCTTGTTTTTTGGGACCCTTTAGGTCCCCTTTTTGTGGGAGTCTTTATTGCTCCTGGTTTTGGGGCCCTTAAGGCCTTTTTTTACTAAGCTTAGCTTTGTGCTGGCTTTTGTTGTCTTAGGACCGTTTCGGATCCTAATGTCGGACCTGTGAGCGTTTTCGCTCTGTTGGTTAGGACCCTTTAGGTCCTTTTTATTGTATGTTTGCTCGTATGAGCGTTGTTGCGTCCGGAAGTTCCATGGTATAGTTTTCTTTTTGTTTATTTTTCCTGTCAGCCAGTTAGGGTCGTACCCTACCATGGTAATGCGTGGGTAGCGTGGCTACACTGACTGCATGTCTTGTCTTTGTCAAGTGTCTGTTGGTTTAAATATTAGGTTAAAAGGGTAGGGAGGCTCGTAGCCTCACGTACTAAGGTGTAGTGGGACTACCCTACCCTGGGATCTTCTTTAGGGGGATCCTAAAATGAAAAATTAGTATCTGTTCTTTTCAGCTTAATATCTGAAACGCTGTTCATTGAACAGCCAGTATATTAAACTGATTTTTGGATTTGGGCCGTGGAATAGAGGCTTGCCTCGTCCCGGCCACGGGTTGGCCCGGTATAGCAGTACATCCGGGATTCGGCCCACTCCCTTCGGGGAACATCAATTAATACAAAAACAGGTTCTGACTACGGTGCCCCGTCGTTAAAGGTTCGTTTTCTTTTGACGTTTTGGTGACAGGGCTTTCACATTGAATTACGGTAAATATTAGTAAGTGTGTAAAGTCTTGTTAAATTATGATGTTGGCGTTTTCATTGATTTCCGTTCAAGGTGTAAAAAAAAAAAAAAAAAAAAAAAAAAAGGCTTGGCCACGACCCCTCTGTGTCTGGTTATAAATGTATTGTTTGAGTCTCGTTGCAATATGTTTCTAGGCATCTTCTTCCTTTTCTTATTTGTTATCCCTTTTCCCCCTTGTTTTGCTTCTGATTTGTTTGTTTCCCAGGATGAGTGCTCCTGCCACGATTGGTCGCCAGAGGGCGCCGTAACAGTTGATGGCTTCGCATGCTCATATCGCGTCCGCGCATGTCCTATAAGTTGCCTCGCCGGGGCTGGGATGGCCATTGAATCATCTACAACCGACTGAGGAGACACAAACATGTCTGGCCGTGGCAAAGGAGGAAAGGGACTAGGCAAAGGGGGTGCCAAGCGACACCGCAAGGTTCTCCGAGATAACATCCAGGGAATCACTAAACCAGCCATTCGTCGGCTGGCCCGCCGCGGAGGAGTCAAGCGTATCTTGCACGCCAAGAGGAAGACTGTCACTGCAATGGACGTGGTGTATGCGCTGAAGAGACAGGGACGCACGCTGTACGGCTTCGGCGGCTAGACACCATATCCAAAAATCAAACCGAACGGCTCTTTTCAGAGCCACCACTATTTCAAAAAAGAGATTGAATCTTGATTTTACTCGATTTCACTTGTCCTTGTCATGTGTGTTCTTAGAGTTGCTTTTCCCCTCCCTATTTCCACTGTAAAACATGTCTGGTCTCCATTTTTTTGTCAAAGTCGATTAAGTAATAATTACTGGGTGCTCGTCTCAGGATATAGCGGGGAACGTATAGAGGGATCCGTGACATTTTGTTCGCGAATGGGTGTGTGTGATTATTGTCTTTATTACAAAACAAACATAAACAGCAGCCAGGGAAATCCGTATGTTTGTCACTTTTCTTTTAGGGGTGGGGGAGGGGGTGTTTATTGGGGTTCAATTAATCCCAAGTAGGGGGTGGGAGAAATATTGTAGTCTCAACGATCCCAAATGGATTCTGTTGCCGAGGGCTCATAATACTATTGGCTCGGAAAAGCAGCATTTTCGATTGAAATTTAACGTCTATACTTTTTCAACGTACGGAAATCGTGATCACTGAAGCGTCTCCGCTTGGCCCCCGAAGCACCCAATCGGAAGATAGCCCATTGTTAGGCTTCCAACCTAGGATGCTATGCGCCGGCCTTAAGAGGCGGGGTCCGTTCGCTCAATCTGCACTCAGTTGTGATCACCGTTCATCAAACCATACCCTTGACCATGGCGCGCACCAAGCAGACGGCAAGAAAGAGCACCGGGGGGAAAGCCCCCAGGAAGCAGTTGGCCACCAAGGCGGCCCGCAAGAGCGCACCGGCGACTGGCGGTGTCAAGAAACCCCATCGGTACCGACCGAGAACCGTCGCCCTCCGTGAGATTCGCCGCTACCAGAAGAGCACCGAACTGCTGATCCGAAAGCTGCCATTCCAGAGACTTGTGCGTGAAATTGCACAGGATTTCAAAACTGAACTGCGATTCCAGAGTTCTGCCGTCATGGCATTGCAAGAAGCGAGCGAAGCTTACCTCGTCGGCCTCTTCGAAGACACCAACCTGTGCGCCATTCACGCCAAGAGGGTCACCATCATGCCCAAGGACATCCAGTTGGCCCGCCGAATTCGGGGTGAACGAGCTTGAGCACGTTGTGTGCGCAAAAAGAAATAAAACTAACGGCTCTTTTCAGAGCCACTACTTCTTCAAAGAGAGATTAAGTCCAATCCCTGAGTTTTCCTTCAAATAAAGAATAAAGGGCCGTTGATTTTTTTTCCGAATTATTATTGTTGATATTCTGTCCAAATACATTCCACTTTTTGGGTTCTATACGTATGCCTCATCCGAAACGTGTTCCAGGCAAAATTGAATTGTTATGGGCATGGTAATAATGATATATATTTCCTATCTGTTTTGACAATTACAGGTACTCGTTCTCTTATTTTCGTCGGTTTTGCGTTACATTGTATGATTCATTATAAATGGATGGTGCATAAGGGGGAAACAACATTTAAAGAAGTATTGGTGCACTACGACATATTAATTCGCCCTCCGCTGGAGATGACTTTATTATTTCCCAGAAATTCAGTAGACAATAATATTTAAGAAGGACACTTATACACGTGTCAGTCTGAGAAAAAGGCTAAAAATACCCTTGCCGGGGAGGGGGGGGGGGGTCGTGCCGTGCGTGCATTGTATAACTATGCACGCATACCGCTTTCTTCACGCATGGGTAAGCGGTCACTGGCGGGAAAGTGGACGATGCATGGGTGGTCAGAATCCAAGCTGTGCACAATAAAAGCCGGCCAAGACGTGCTGGTCTTTCATTCGATCTCACGATCCGATACATTCCAAGTCCTCCAATATGGCTCCCAAAGTTAGCGGAAAAGGTCAGAAGAAGGCCGGAAATACTAAGGGTCCGGTTAGCGCCAACAAAAAGAGGCACCGGCGTCGCAAGGAGAGCTACGGCATCTACATCTACAAAGTGATGAAACAGGTGCACCCCGACACCGGAATCTCGAGCAAGGCAATGAGCATCATGAACAGCTTTGTCAACGACGTGTTTGAGCGCATCGCCAGCGAATCTTCTCGCCTCGCTCTCTACAACAAGAAGTCCACCATCACAAGCCGTGAAGTGCAGACAGCAGTACGCCTACTTCTTCCCGGGGAGCTTGCTAAGCATGCAGTCAGCGAAGGCACCAAGGCCGTCACCAAGTACACGACTTCAAAATAGAAATTTTGAAGGCTTCAAAACCAAACGGGACATAATAATAGTAATACCAACAGTAATAATAATGAACATTAGTAGAAGTCTAGTTCTCTAACAAAGCTCTGGCTATTTGCCTTACAAGAAACTGTTCGTCATACACCGATGTATTTACGCGAGGAAAATGTTTTCGTATAAAATCGTTAACGAGTATGTCATTGTCTCGTTTATCTGAAGAAAACAGGAGCGTGATTTTGTACATGGTGAGTCCCCGACAACGCTGTAACAGGAAAAAGATGGAGTATTGTCCACACACGGCTGACAGTGGTCCCTGCAGGGGTTGGTGGTTGTAGCGGGTACACGTCACATTTTTCTTGAGGAATTTCTTGACCCGGGGTATATTCATCGGTTGTCCGTAGGAATCGAAATACTCTCCCTCCCCATCCCGCGTGATGTAAATGGCCACCCAGTGCTGACCGGGTTTCGTGGATGGGTCCGTATTAAAAATGAGGGCGCTCGGTCGGGGCACGTAGTGCTTAGGCAGCTGATCGCAGGCAAAAACGCCTCTGAAGTAATGCTTGGTAAAACCTGGTCAATTTCTATGATGTTGTTGAACTCGGCGTAGATGATGACGTTGATGGTTGCCTCCAGTGGATTGGCAAAGTGGACGTCCAGTCTCAGGTTGCCACGCCTCACGAGATTGAAGTGTCCTCCCACAGATAGGTTGGGGCTCAGATCAAACGCAAACAGTGCGTACCCCGCGGGATAGTCGTCACGAGTGATGGCGACGCCTTCGTCTTGGTACATTTTATCCGCACCGGAGAAGAGGGTCTGGTAGGCTCTGATGTAATTCTTACCCGGTTCTTTAAATTTCGGTTTCAGAGGTGAATAGGGAATTTGTTCCCCGTCCAAGTGAACTGTCAAAAAGTTGATATTCATGTGTTGGAAATTAAAGGGGTTTTTCCCATACCGTCCGTTAAATGCTTCGTTGGTCACACATCCAACTACGATACGGTTTGGAAGTTGACCCAGAAACACGTGGTCCTGCGTGAGGGTTAGATTACCGCGGGGCACAGACACCATCTTGCACAGATTGCGTTTGATGGGGTATTTGGCGGTGCCTTTCTCCAGAGCTTTCATGTATCCCAGCATAACGCCCGAACTGACTTTGACTTTCCTGACAAAAACGGACGCGTTTAGGATGACCACTTTGTAGGTGGGGTTTCCCCCAGCGGCCATGAGACAGAACGCGTTGCTGCTGCGAATCAGTTTCAATTTCAAGTCCACGCCATTCAGCATGTGATTGTCTTGAAAGAAAATGTCGCTGTGAATCGGGCCGATCATGTCCACCTCGCTGCTTCCCTTTGTAAACTGGTATCTCTTCTTCAGCCCATGGTTGACCGCATCGTCTGCCGCTGTAGGGTTTGCGCTGTCCATTTTGCCGGCGGTGTCTTTATAGAACAAAGCGGCAGTCAGCTGAGAGATTTGAGCATCGCTGCCGTAGCTGAGCAGTGTTTCGATTATGGCGCGATAGGGGTAGGTAGGTGTGGAGGGGGAGATCAGACGTTCGTTCAGACTCACATCAATCTGGCTGAATAGGGACTGTAGAAGTAAGTTGACGGGACCCACGTGGTCGGCGTCTGTCAGGTTGGAGCCGTCCGCTTTGGTGATTTTCGCTCTGACGTACAACTGGGTTTGGTTGAGATCCATGTATTCTTCTCCGGATCCCGGTACGAAAAATTCTATCGGTCCTCCATCAGAAATGGTAGAAATCGGGTGAAATTCCTGCCACTGACCACGTTCTATGCTCGTTTGTGTTGGTGGTAAAGAAAAATATCAAGTTCAGATTTAGTGCATTCGCACGAGTTATTGTGTAACAACGACATAATGACTGACTGTGGGTTAGCTTGCAAAACGCTTAATCAAATATGTCTTGTGATCTTTTCACTCTCCTGCTAGAAGAGGAAGTGGCGCGTCTGCCGTTTGCTTTCCTTTTTATACCACGTCGTGGACCTCGTGAGAGTCGGGCATCCACGCCTCGAAGAGCCGAGTGGGCCAGATTACGTCCAGCGTGTCGAAGTCGGTTTTTGGCAGATGATTTGATACTTTTTCCCTCCATCGCATCCTGCGCGATTCCTACACCGGTACGAAGCGCTTCGCGACCCAACGTTTTAGCGCCTTGTTTGATCAGAGGCATGGCCGACCGGAAAAGTCCGCTTAAAATCCCTCCAAGTCCATACCCTCTCTGACTTCTCAGACCAGTGAACACGGGGAGACCGCGCCCCACCTGGCCAACATAATAATCTTCGTAGTGTTTACTATTGGGTAGGTAATGACTCTTCATGATGATTAATAGAAGTAGGACGAGCGCTTCTTTCGAAAGTGAAGTTTCACGATGACTCTCCCGGTAACAAATGGAATAAGTTCACCCGTCCCGTCCCTTATATTGATTTCGATCATGTCCAAAAACTTGTGCTTCAGGGGCATGTAATGAGGACTGTCGTAGATTTTTGTAACGGTTTCTCCATACTTCCCGTCCACATTCACGATGCGTAATAAGGGGGCCCGCGTGTCTCCTACGGTGTGGTACTCCACAATATTAGAGTAGATAAATAACGCATAGAATGGCTGCAGGTCCACCACCCTCGTACTCTTTTTGATACCCGACACAGTTGCACCATCGTCAAAACCGAGTAGGTTCGCTAGACGACCCAGTAATTTAAGCACCACGCTGTCGTTTGTCTTTATGATGACTTTTTGAATGAATTTGTTGTACTTGAATCGGACTTGTCCGTCGTGCTCGATGGGAGGTTCAAAGCTGTCGAATAGTTCTTCAGGTGTTGGGTAGTACCCCTCCGGTACGCGATGAAAGTGAAATCTGGAATCTGTTTCTCCACCCGAGCACGCCACCAGGTTACCTTCGGTCACGTTCAACCAACGGTGAGGGTAAGTTACTTCGGCCAATGCCACTTCCCAGTCTCCCTCAAAAGACAGGGGTGAGGGTAAATTTACAAAAAAATGACTCAAGGTGTTGTTAGGGTGAGTATCCATAGAACTGTTGCTAGGGAGCGTGACGTAAAACGAGTCCGCCATGACGAAGCTTAGCTTTAACTGTGTAGGTAAATACTCGCGTCACGGACGTTTTATAACTTGCGCAGACTTGTCACCCAACTGTTAAACTTGCCTGGGTAGCCCAACCACTTGACAAAATACTCCAATTTTCCCCGCCTTTTCCGCGTCTGGAGTACTTTTTCCACTTGGTACAGGTCGCCCAATTGAACCGCTGGTTGTATTTCGTGTTCGTAGAATGTCCCGTCCAACTCCTCGGAATCGTAATCTTTCAACTTGTACACGGGAGGATTGCGCGGAATACGAGCACTAACGGTGAATAGTTCAGTGGTCCAGTTTGGAAGGTAACCTTTCCTAAATGGTCGTGCAGCCATACTGATGCGCACTGTGTCCCCAACATTGAACTTGTAAGAAATGGGTTTGTCCGCGTTACTGTTCTCGTCGTACAGGTTTCTCCATACAGTTTCGGCATTGTCGCTATTTACCGAGGCCGGGGTGGTCTTTATGCTTCGGTGGTAAGCGTGATTGTACGCCGTCATTAATTTCGGCAAAGCTTTTATGTACACGTGGCTGTTTGTGGCCGTGAAATATTTGTACATTTTTGTCTTGAGCGTTCTGTTGAATCTCTCCACCACGCTGGCTTTTGTTTCATTCTGAGTCGTGAAGAAACCAATTTTATTTTTTTCGAGAAATGACTGGAATGGATGATTGGTGAACTCGGTGCCTTTATCGGTCTGTAGAACTGTGGGTTTCCGTCCGCTTTTCAAGATTGTCTTGAAGCCGTCAATAAGCGAAGAACCGGTCTTATTCTTGATTGGAATTGCCCAGGTGTATTTCGACAATATATCGATACACGTCAACAAATATTTGTAGTTTCCATTAAACCGACTGAGTGATCTCATGTCCACCAGATCCGCCTGCCACTGCTGGTCAATACCACCCACGATGACTCTGTTCCGTTGAAAATGCCTGCGTATGGGTTTGTGTAGTGTGTAAGGCGAGCCATCAGATAACAGACCGTTCGGGTACCGGGTCCGGTATGCTAATTTCTTTCACCCCAATCGGTACGAAGCCAGAAGCCGCCCGGTCACTGAAGCGTGACGCCCCAATCGGTCCAAACTGGTGACTCAGGGTTTCACAATAGGCAACATAAATTGAAGTCTGGCCATTGTTGGAGGATTATTCGGCCCGCTGGGATTCCAGCGGCAACTTCTATGAATCTCATCACGGTCATTGTTGCCTACTGGAGGATTAGCGCGTGGCAAATTGGTTCCTTTGTGATGAGCCAGAGCCATGGTGCTGAAGCCTGGTGGAGTTAATCCAGGCCGATCGGTTCCATGCAAGGTCCCAATCCCTTCAACATACTGGGCGGGCTCAACCCCGAACGGTCTGGGGAGGGATTCTAATTTGAGGGCTCGCCTAAGTCGGTTGCTGACTTAACCAGGTTCTAATTTGACTCCGGTTGGTGTCGACGCCGTCTTTTTGGGCAGCACGGTAGACAGCTTCCACACCACCAAAACCGGCCGGATGTTGGGGGTTGTAGTACACTCGTTTCAGGTACGTTTCGTTCTGCGCCATCACTTAAATCTGTGTTTTGTATAATGACACTACTGCGACAGCAGATGCACCAACAACGAATTTTTTCGCGAGTTGTTTAAATCCACAACCCGGTTTCGGTGGACAGCACTCCATGATGAGGTAGTCTCAAATGATTAAGTCGGGGTAGTGTGTGCGTATTAATAGGGAGTCCATTTGGGTTTCGAACGCGGTGTGCTTGTACTCGCCATTGTTTTCTTTTTCCTCGCTTTGGGTGTAGTTTTCAGATGGGACGCTTCGGCAAACAATCGGGGTAGGTGAAAAGACTCTTCTTCCTCTGGTTCTTCCTTCAAGTGTACTTTTAGTTTAGAGGAATCACCAAAGCTAAGTTCACGCTCCAACTTCGGTGGACCGTGCGGCATCGGCTCCAGTTTGGGTGGTTGATCATCCGTCTTCTTGGTTTCTAAAGTCATAGTCAGCGGTGCCATTCTTTGTTTATTTAAGTTAATGTATCTGTGCAGCGTCTGGTGGTACAGTTTAATTTTATCCTCGTCTGAAAGGTTTTTCCTTTCCAGTAGCTCTCTTATCTCACCATCTAAACTGTGTACCACGCGCGTGGTCGGTGTTTGTTCCAATCGTCTGGTCGATTGAAGTTTTGTCAACGTTTCCTGAGGTACCAGAACCATTTTCTTGGTGTGCTCCATGTTTATTTTAACAATAATCCACCAAGAGCGCCCAATATTGGAGTGAGTAAAGCACCGAGAAAACCTCCTTTCTGACGTAATACTTTCTTTTTCTTTTGAACGCTGAGTTTCTTATTGCTGAGAACTCGCATTTGACGCTTGTATTTGATTAACTTTTTCTTCTGGGATGGTGTGAGGGAAATATTACCGTTGAGAACGTTGAGGGCGCACTCGCACAAACAATGTATCAGTTCCTTGTTGGCTCCTTGTATCACACCCTGTCGTTGCTTGTCGCTTCCCTTAGCCAGCACATGCAGGTAGGGAGCGTTGTGATGCACACGCCTCGACATCTTCAAATGATTGCCGTCCGTTCTAAACACAATCCTTTATACCTTTGGAGTGTAAACGATGGGATATTCGCCGGGAAAAAATTCTGGTTCTGAGACGTACAATTTCGGGGGTTTCTGGCTTTAAATCTACGAAGAGATAGCCGTAGGGGGCGGATGTCGCATCGCGGTAGGCCTCCATCATATACTTGGACTTAGTGGGGTACATTTGGCGCGCTAAATGTGTAATTTGCGAAGCGTCTCTCGGGTTTTTAAACAGAACCATGTAATGAGCGTTCAAACTAATGGTTCGCATTTCCTTCCCCTTGTAAAATAAATTCTGTAGTATGAGAAAAACGGATAGGTTTCTGTGATGACTACCCTTGGTAAATAGTTCAGTGACCTTAACATTGTTCCCGCTTTCGGACATGAGATCGTCTATCACAACCAGGTTTCTTTGACTTCGGTCCAGGGACTCCAATAGATCATCGGGGTAGCCCTCCACAAATCGTATCCGAGGGACCAGACTAGCCAGATGGTCGTAAGCATCTTGATATTCCCCGTAACACCAAATAATATTATCAATAGCAGGTTCAATCAGTGTATTTCCCTCAGCTAGAATAAGACCCTTTACAAACTGTGTTTTCCCGCTTCCAGTTGGACCAGTGATTACGCCAGTAAAAGGATGTTTAAGTCGCGAATCCATTTGATCAAATGAATCTATTTTTGTAATGTAGTTCTTTTTAAAAGCTAAAGTTTTCACTCCTACCCTCCCTCCCCCTTTAGTTTATTATTCCCCCCTTCAATTTATTAAAAAGAAAGTTTTGTTTAACAATAAGCATTACAAAATTGAAAGTGACAGACAACAGTTTATTTTTTTCTTTTCTTATTTCTTTCAATCTCCTTTCTTTCTTTCTTCTTCATTTAACCAAGTAAACAAAATAACATACATAATTCTTTAACTATGAAGGGAAAAATAAATAAATAAATAAAGATGAACGTAAGTAATATCAACATTAAAAATAATTAGAAAATGTACGAATTCTTTCTTAAGAGCAGTTATCAATTTAGTAAACCATCCAAAATTTTAAAAAAG